TGGTGTTAGAATTTAGCTGGTAAGCTTTGCTGCATTTTAATCAATCAGTATTTTTCATCATCGGCAGTCAGTGCTTACATGAAAAGCAATCTTAAAAGAGGAGGTTGAGGTTTTTGTCATGGTTATGGGATATGTTATGTTACATAATCATGTGCCTGTGTTTACTGCACAAGAGTCCATCTGTAGTCCTGCAGTACCAGTAGCATTAGACGGTGCTTTAGAATATGGAAAGTATGACGCCCCAGTTGAGTTTGGCAAACACGCGTGGTCATAGTGCTGCCAAAGAGTGAGAAAACATGTCGACACTGTGATACCAGTCAGTGTTGTACAGCCCTGTTACACAGTACATTATGGATTAACCAGAAGTCTTCGCCTGCCAAAGATCCGGGACAAGGTACTGGCTCTAATTACATCCTCACAATGAGAACAGAAATACACTGAGAGAAAGATGAAGTCTCGATATCTGGTTACGCTTCTGCTGCACCCCTTTTTCTCTCCATCTTTTCTCAGCTTCCCTCTAAACCACCTGATTATTTGTGTTATTTTCAGACATCTAACACAAGCACACTGGGATGTTTGAAGTCAGAAAAGAGTTCAAATCAAGAAGATTTCAAACCAACAAAAAGTAGTTTGTCTCGTGTTAAAAGTTGTCACCTGACAGTCTTGCTTTTTTATTCCCTGAGGGTACAATAACCTATCAAATAGTATTATAAAGATGCAAATCTAGTCTCGCATATGATCAGTTTGACTGTTTTGCATAGGAAAGAAGCATTTCCTTGCCTGTATTTTGCCGTTCTCTATTTTTCAGACCTTTAATAGTGCTTTTAATGGCACTTTCTACAGGGAAATAACACCATATCTGTCCCCACTGACGCACTTCTAATATTCTCACCGCTGTAATTTCAAATATAATAGTTTATGGTCCCTCAGAGCCCGATGTGCGACTGCTAGACGTGACTGAAATCCCCGTGTTCCAGGGCAGTAATCACGGGGCTTATGGCCTTTACCAATGAGGTGTCGGCCTGTGTAACGTGAGCCCGTGGCATTGTAGACATGCAAGCTCAGGATGCCAATGCCAGCGACTCATGAGGCTTTAACATTATGTCACGGAGAAAGTAAACATTCCTTTAATGAGTTTGATGAATGTATAGCTTCCCTTGATTGTCCTTCTTCATGCCTGTGTTCCTTTTTTTTTGTTCATTTATGTCTTTCTTACGCTTTTTTTTAGGTTGAGTCCAGAGATCTTCCTTAAGAGGCCTGTTGTCGAGGGCAACAGGTGGAGGCTGGACTGTATCCTCAAACGCAAAGCAGTAAGTCATTATGGGAGGAAAAATAACCCACAGGTCAAGTGTTGAGCAGATGTATACTGCACTCGTGAAAAAACGTTTCCTCGAAATGGAAACGTGCCCTTTGCCCTGAGTAAATATAACCTTTATTAACGTATAAACTCACATTTTTTTTAACAAAATGACAGAAGTATTAACATTTAGGCTGTTTCAAGTCGAGTCATTCTTATTTAAAACAAGTCGAGCCAAAGTGCTCTCCATTTAAAAAGAAGTGCGAAAAGCCATCTCAAAGCACATTAAATTTTAAAGTTAAGACCTTACAATATTAGAGAGAAACCCTCAGACTTCCCGTGAGCAAGCACTCCGAGATAAAGTTCTACCTGGATGTGATTTAAGCTTAAGAAACCTATTATAATAAATGCTAATAAAAAATGTCCACATGTGTTCGCAGGATCTATGAAGTCCTTGAAAAGCAGCTCTTTACACTAGAAGATTTTCTTTAGTATTCATTTGCAAGAAAAGATACGACTGCATGGTATTGAATATCTAAACAAGCATGATTCACCATCTGGGATGCATCTGAAGATAATAAATGCTCTGCTTACCACTTATTTGTTTGCAGAACACTATTTACCAACATCTTGAGGCTGACATAAAGCTAATGTTGCAGCTTGATTCTAGTGCAAGTGGTAGAATGACGCAGACATATTCAAATAGTGTACACATTTCAGGTATTTGTACTTTACTCTATATTTCTACTTCTCTACATCTCAGAGACACGTTTTTAAGGTTTTCTCGACTACAAATGTCCGACAGCTTTAAGTACTAGTTACTTATTCCCATTTCTCCAGATTTTACGATTTTAAATATCTGGGATGAGCTGAAGGATTAAATGTTCCTTCATGGGTTGAGAAAGTTCTCCTACTTCTTAAGCTAAATCAAGTATTTAGTAAACATGTTAGCTGGAAAATGTGTTGTCACAAAACAAGCTGCTTTTCTGAGGTCATGAACGAAAGCTGACTTTTTGGACAGATGCTGTTTTCACAGGGCAGCAACATTACACCATAACATGATTAGTTTATAGAATTGCTGTAGATTAAACTATGTAATGGTATATAAAGTAGATAAAAGTAGCTCTGCCTTAAACATCTACAACAGTAAAAGTAATATCAATACAACAAAGCATTATATATGATGGGAAAACTCGGACAGGAATAATTTTACTGAAAAATGGAGTGGAAATTTTGCTTCTTAAGTAAGGTTTTTATAACATGATATTTACTTGTAGTAGACTATGTTCACAGTATGGTATTTACACTTTTACTTCAGCAAAGGATCTGAAAGCATCTCCAGTCAGTGGACATTTCAGGGTATCAAACCTTTTCTGTTTGCTCCCTTTACTTTTACAGATTAATGTCAAAGCAAACTCTCTAATGGGTTCTTTGTTCACTACTTTAGCTCCAATAAGTGTTGTTCAGTAGTAACTATCTTGATTGATTGCTTCTCAGTAAGGATGCAACCAATTGAATATGTGAATACTTTGATGGATTAACTCTGTGTTTGTCCACAGCAACAAGGAGTGCGGATCTTCGTGATGCTGTATAAGGAGGTGGAACTGGCCCTCGGCATCAACTCAGGCTACAGCAAAAGGACGCTTATGCACCTGCACCCCAACATCAAGGTGAGTGACGGGATTATTGATATGTTCATTTTGTTAAAAAACTTCATTGTGGCACATTTAATCAATGTCATGTTCCCAATCAGGCTGCCACGTGACCCAACATGTTATTATATTTGCACTTTTTGTGATTTACATACTGTCAAATATACAAATGTACATGTGCTGTGTGTCCAGGTGATGCGTCATCCGGACCACGTCTCCTCCTCCGTCTATCTGTGGGCACATCATGAGAAGATCGTGGTTATCGACCAATCGGTGGCCTTCGTGGGCGGGATCGACCTGGCGTACGGTCGCTGGGACGACGGAGAGCACCGGCTGACGGATGTGGGCAGCGTGACTCGCTCCGTGGCGCTGGAGCAGGTCAGACACTAATTAAAATGTCCTGTCCACACTTTTTGAATTTATTGGCAAAAAAAAAAAACAGCCCTCATCTCCTGACAAATAGTTTGAATTAAAAAGCCCGAGGAGAGGAAAGTATTTCATTTACTCTCAGAGGGAATAAAGAAGCAGCACTCCATGTATCCTCAATAGGAGCCTGTGGTGACTGTGTGCATAAATATGGAATGAAAAGAGCAAATCTGTCACAATGCCAGCTGGCAAATAAACTCTTAACTTCAGTGGCACTGACATATTCTCATACACGACTACACAAGCATATTATGTGCCATTGACCTTAAAGTCAATATGTATTTCAAGCTCCACTTGGCAGAAGTCACAGAAAGGAGAAAAAAAAAAAAAAGAAGCACCAGAATTTTCAACAAAATTGTCACATTTTCTGCTCAAGACAAAAAAAGAATGATGCTAAAATGTTATTGTTCCTCTTGGATGGATGCAGTGTTCGTTGGGAGCGCTGAAACTTTCATTTACACAAGACATAATTCAAGGTTGGTGTGCTGCAAAGTAGAGGATAAATCCTTTTGATTTTGATGAACTCGTGACTTTGCTATAGCACTTCTACCCACACAAAAACACACCTATCCCTTGTTTGTAACTTGGTCGTGATTTCACCACCCATCAGCGTTGTAATGCATCACGATTCAGCACCACACAACAACTGCAGCCTCCAAAATGACAGTAATAAAGCAGTTTATTGCAGCACTGTTTTATTAGACTGCAATCATTGTATGTGTATGATATAAAAGCAGATGAGTTATACTACATCCCCTGTTGTTTTCTGGATTCTAGGCCAGCTCCACCAACACTCCCTCTACTAAGGGGGTGTCCTCCACCGACGGCGTCTCTCAGAGCAACGGACGGGGAACGCCGCCCGGGGATTCGGCGGATTTGCCGAAGCTGAGGGGAATCGGTCGCAACAGGATGGTTCGCTTCAGCATATACAGACACCTGCACAAGCACACGCTGCAGCACGTGGACAGCGTCAGCAGTGTTGACAGCGCAGGTCGGTGAAGCCTTTGAGAACATTAAAGAGAAGTCACTACATTTATGTGCGTTCATGCTCAACTTCTATTTTAACTCCGTGCAGGGAGTGGCTCTGTGCGAAGCCTGAAGACAGGTGTCGGAGAGTTGCAGGGAAACACTCGCTTCTGGCATGGAAAGGACTACTGCAACTTTGTGTACAAGGACTGGATCCAGCTGGAGAAACCTTTTGATGGTCTGGCGCACGCATACCCACGAATATAACCCTCTCATTTATGTCAGACAAGCTCCCTCTATTGCTCGACCCAAACTTCTTATTAGAAAGAAGTCGTTGCCCCATGCTAAGCACTACTTTTAAACCAGTGTATATATGGAAACGTATAGTCGTCTGGAAAGCTAATACAGCTGGGTGCCGTAAAACACTTTTGTTCCGCTTAGCCCTCTCTTCTAAACTCTCTGACCCCACTGTACTTGTTTCTCTTATCCTCCTGCTCTTTTTTTTTCTTCGGATTGCAGACTTCATCGACAGGTACACGACTCCCAGGATGCCTTGGCACGACATCGCCTCGGTGGTTCACGGCAGAGGCGCCCGAGACGTGGCGAGACACTTCATTCAGCGCTGGAACTTCACTAAGGTACACTGTAACACTGTGTACATTAACAAACAGGCTCAGGGATGTGGAGCAGGATCAGGACTTAAGGCTTAATTTGTTTAACCAGGATTTTGACAACAAAGGGGTCTTGTGTTGACAGAATGCAACCACCTTTCTTACCATTTCTGAGTCGATACATGGTTAGAAAGTTGTCAAAAAACCCGTTTAAGAGGTGGAAATCATGACTTGTTGACTTAAAAGGAAAACAGGACAATAAACAGTAACCTGGCTAAACCGTAGGAAATGTTTGACTGGATCAGTGGAAAAACTGCCTTAATCGTCTCACTCACACTTTCCCTGGCACCAACTTTTTCCTCCATGTTTTCACTCTTTCCCTCTCCTCTGCTCTCTCACTGTATATATTGACTCTCTTTTTGATGAAATTCTCCATTTTTCTCTCCCACAGATCATGAAGCCAAAGTACCGCTCTCTGTCGTATCCATTCCTGCTTCCTAAGTCGCACTCCAGCGCCAGTGAGATCAGATACCAAGTTCCCGGTTGTGTAAATGCCAAAGTTCAGGTGGGAGAACACGCCGAGCGCACGTTTAACTCGCCTCACTTATAAAACGAAAAATTGTTGGTTTTGTCTTCACATAAAATAGGAAAAACCGAGACAAAAATCTGACCACCAACCAAAATTAAAGAGAAAACGCAAGAACACAGGCAGGACAAACTCCCACTTTCCCACATCTCCCAGATCCAAGTCTGCAGTCAAGCATTGCTGGAAACAGATAAAAGAGAAAAAAAAAAACTCTCCACGGGCCAAAAAAAGTTATATAACTACAAAAGGTTTGCACTTTCGATTGACAGGGTTTTTAGCCAGAAGCGAGCGACCTCTGAGTGAGATGCTCGTCTAAAATAAGACGTGCCTGAAGATCCCATCACAAGGGTTTTGTTCAAAGTGAAGGAGTGCTTTTGTTTTTTGAGTTGCACCTATTCAGCGTTTTTGAAGTGACACTTCTATGAACACATTGCACAGCTTAATATGCTTTAAAAAAAATCCTACATCTGTGAGGAGTCAATGAGGATGTCGATGCCAGCCTCTGGATTGTTGTCCCAGTCTTTCTGAAGGGCTTGGCCAAGTTGGTGGATATTTTTTTTCGGGAGGATCGGATCATGTTGTCAGACACCATCCAGAGCATCATGGGGGCTGATTATTTGTGCGCTGTGCTGTCTGAAATGATTTCTTAAACAACAAATAGCCTAGTTTTGAACATTCGAGTGGCTGGATACGGCCTTAACTGAACTGCTAGCCTCCCGCATGTCAACAGTCTGTTCTTATCTTTCTGTTGTCATCTGTTTGATTGTGTCATCTGAACAAAGCTGCATTTTAAGGTGACCTTTTGGAGTCACTGATCACAAGGAGCGTCTGTTTGCTCGTCACACTGTTTGATTATAGTTCTTTAAAATGTCACCTGACTAGTGTGTGGATTAACTCAAACACTTTGTGCACAATTAGCTACATTTAACCCTTTTTCAACCATTATAATAATAAAAAAGGGTTTTTAAGTTTTTCTCTAAGTCAGAAAAGAACACCATGTATATGTTATGTTTATATGGAAGCTGAGAGCGGACATTTTTTTTTAAACAGCATTTTCTCGAGATAATGAGATAATTATCCTGTTGACAGTTCCGGCTGTCACTTCAGCCTTCATCAGAAGTTGTCGGACTTCCTGGTGTCACGTATCTTATATAGACAACTGACCAGGAACTCCGACATGACGTGTCATGAGAACAGCTGACCGGGCACGACAACTTACAATGAAGCGCTCGTGCCCGGTCTTGTCTGTCCTCCGGCCCCCCGCTGGTGACTGAGGATGGAATCCCAGGTGTGTGGGAGGTCCCACACACCTGGGATTCCATCCTGGACCGGGCACGAGTGGACAAACACAAACACCAATTATCTCGTTATCTCGAGAAAACGAAGTTGGTTTTCACAGTAGTGGAAAACGACCACTCTCGGCTTCCGTATGTTTATATTTTTGTATATTATATTTTTTGAGTATTGATTATTTATGGGGCTGCAAGGTGGGGCAGTGGTTAGCACTGTTGCCTCACAGCAAGAAGGTTGCCGGTTCGCATTGGTGGTCTAGAACCATGTTGAGGTTAATTGGTGATTCTAAATTGTCCGTAGGTGTGAATGTGAGTGTGCTTGGTTGTCTGTCTCTAAGTGTAGCCCTGTGATAGACTGGTGACCTGTCCAGGGTGTCTCCTGCCTTCACCCTGAGTCAGCTGGGATAGACTCCAGCCCTCCATGTGACCCTAGTGAGGATTAAGCGGTGTATAGATAATGGATGGATGGATAATTGTTTGTGTATATTCAATTCAATTTTATATATAGAGCGCAATCCACAGCATATGTCATCTCATAGCGCTTAACATAGTAAGGTGAAGACCTTGTGAATTTTGAGCAGAGAACCCAACAATCCAAAGCTGCCTTTGGACTCCAGCTGAGCAAACAGTTAGCAACGGTGGGAAGGAACCAAAAGAACCCCCTCTAATAGGGATTTGAACAAAAAACAAACCTCCGACAGAACCAGGCTCAGGGAAGGCGGACATCTGCCTCGACCGGTTGGGATGAAAGTGTGGATGGGGGGGGTGGGGAATAGCAGGATAGCAGGATAGCAGATGCAAGCAATACAAACAGAACAATAAATAATTTGGAGGTCGGTGAGGCCAGCGACTGCAGATCAGAGACGTGAAGCTACAGATCCAGAAACAGAGAATAAGTTCTGATGTTGAAAGTAACAAAAGCAAAGACAGATCTGACAAAAAGCAGCCTTTTTATTTGTTATAAAATTCTTTATTAAAGGTAGAGTCAGACACATTTTGTCATGTGTGATCTGCTCGCTGTTCATTCTTTGTGCACGCTGCAGTGTTTGTACACAGTCCTGGGTTAAGCCTGATCTGCACAACACAGGTCCAGTGTGTCCTTTACTTGTTCATGCTTGTGCACAGACCTGGAAGAGAAAGGGAGAGGAGGTGGGAGGAAAAGGGGGTTGTGGGAGTGAGATATCTAAATATGCCAACTACCTAAATGCCAACGATCTTTCTCTAGAATCACCTTTATGTAATACTAATTGATGAGAGCTGCGGTATTTAGCAACGATTCAACCTTTAAAAAATTAGATTTTTAGATTCATTATACAGCAAAGTTTTTTCTTTTACTTTTCTAAGCTGATCATTATTACATTTACTTGCCAGCAATTCCCATAATGCACAGTGCTTGGAATATAGTCACAGCTTACAAGGCCTCAGCTTGTAATCCTTGAATCATCCTTGAAGTTTTAATGTACACTACATTGAGGATATTCATAATGAAATATGTGGAAGAGGCAGCTCTGTTGAGCCCTGCTGCTGTAATAACCCAGTTTGTGTGTGTTTTAGGCGTTGAGGTCAGCATCAGACTGGTCGGCGGGCATAAAATACCACGAGGAGTCCATCCATCAAGCCTACATCCAGGTCATCGCCAAGAGCAAGCACTACATCTACATAGAGGTAAACCAGCAGAGAGGCTACAACATGAAAACAGAAACCGCATTGTTTATTTGGCAGCACTTTGAAATCACCAACGATAGCATGAAAGCCAAACTCTTGAAAGGTTTCTCACTAATGTCAGTAATGAGATAGCTCCATTGAGACTGGCTTTGATGTCAGTAATTATTATATGTCAGCATGAGCGTGCTTTGTGAAATTAAACGCCTCATTAGTCTGTGACATAAAACTACAAATTGTACGTGTGGAACCAAAGCCGTGATTATTTTCAGTGTTGCTCTTTGTGTTTGTGTCATTCTTCTCTCTCGCTTTCCTCTTACAGAACCAGTTTTTCATCAGTTGCGCCGACAACAGGACGGTCTACAACAAGATCGGAGATGCCATCATTGAAAGGATCCTCAGGGCACATAAGTACTTCCTTTTCTTTTAAAGTCATCTGTTTGTTTAAATGATTACACAGGATTAGTCTCTTCTGTAGCTCACAATGTAAATTACAATTGGTTGCTTACAGGGAGGGTAAGAAGTATCGCGTCTACGTGGTCACTCCTCTTCTTCCTGGCTTTGAGGGCGACATCACCACGGGAGGAGGGAACGCCATCCAGGCAGTCATGCACTTCAACTACAGGTACGTCACGTGGCTCTTTTAATAAGACCGAGTTTGAAAGAGGAAGACAGACGGGAAATGAGAAAGCAGATGTGGAAGAAGTGTTTAATCATAGATCTATATGTATACACTCTGTGATGACTTTTAATCTCTCGTTTCCTCAGAACAATGATCAGAGGAGAATACTCCATCATCTCCCAGCTGAAAAAAGAGAGTGAGTTCAAGAAGAAGCTGTGAAATTAAACGGTTTAATACTTGATATTAAGCGTGAAATGTGTTAATACGATTCTGCCTCTGGCTCCTCAGTGGACGACCACTGGATGAACTACATCTCCTTCGCCGGTCTGCGGACTCACGCTGAGCTGGAGGGACGTCTGGTCACGGAGCTCATCTACGTCCACAGCAAGATGCTCATCGCTGACGACAACACAGTCATCATTGGTTAGTCTGTCTCTCATCTCACCTTCTGTCACATTATCTTCTCTTGCTACTATTTGGAGCGACTGACCGCTCTGCGTCCACACCACCAAAACATGATGAAAGCCTCTCTTCGTTTCGCCATGTGTGCAGCTAAAAAATGTGCATAATAATGCTGTAGAAACGTGAGAGGAGCGCTGCGTGACTCTGTTGTGCCACCTGCTGGTGTACACGGTGCAGCTCGCCACCTTAACGGAATTCAACAACAATCAAGAAATAAGAAATAAATCAAAGTGCTAAAGCTCTTTATATCTATTTGTAGATGACACTCTATCTTTTCTCTCTAAATTTTACATTTAATCAGCTGTTTTTGTTTATGAAACCATATAATTATTGTGAATTATAGCAAATTTATGAAGGAACATGAACATCAACATCAGATTAATGTGCAAAATTAAGTTCATGTGGTCGTTTTGTGTTGCAGGTTCTGCTAACATCAACGACAGAAGCATGCTGGGTAAACGTGACAGCGAGGTGGCGGTGATTGTTGAAGACTCTGAAAAGGTTCCCTCAGTGATGGATGGTCAGGAGTACGAAGCTGGACCCTACGCGCTTCAGCTACGCCTGGAATGCTTCAGGTGTGTCTGTTTGTGTATCTACAGGTGTGCTCACGAAGAACATTGCGCTGTGTGTTTGGTTTGCTTTTAGTTTGCCATGTGAGCAGCATGCATGTTAGGGTAATTGGCGTAAACTGGCTGTATGTGTGAGTGCAGGCAGGTGTGGTTGTGCAGGCAGGACTGTCTGTTTGAGTAAGGCCCCACAAACCTCTACTGGACAAAGAAGGTACAGCTAATAAATGGATGGATTGTTTGTCTTGTCATCCATCCCCATAACATCTATCCAAAGTACTACAGTACACATTTAAAAGGGCTCTAAATGTAATTATAAAAGCAAGAAATTGTAATAGTTTTTAGAAGTTACATGTATACTTTTCACTATAGTCTACATGACCAACACAGTCTCCACAGAATTGTGTTGTTATACAACTGTCATATCTTTGCAGTGTATTTTAATACTTCCCTTTATTCCTTCAACCAGTCCTGTATTAGATGAAATGAGACTTGTCACCCTGGTCACCCAGAAAATGGAGAAGATGCTTCAACAATGTCGAGAAAGAGTTGTTTTTTCCCTAACCATGACATTTAACATATTAACTATAACTAAGTAATTTGGGTGCCAAACTTTAGCCAAACTTTTTTTCTGAGACTGATGGTCTCTCGTCCATCACTGGATGCAAACCCTTGATCTTGACGGTGAAAATCCGGTTTGTGCTACCAACCACTCCTCCAATCTCCTAGCCTGGACTTTGTTGCTCTTTAAAACTCAGCGACTTTTAACCACAGAACAGGTTACATTTACTTAAAAACACAATTACGTTCCCTTTAAAACGTAAGGAAGAATGCAGTTCAGTTGTATGGGACTACAACTTTGTGGAGTCAAGGCTGATATGTGAAGATTTCCCTACTCATTTATTTTTTCTTTCTCTCTTTTTTTTCTTTCCTCGTTCTCAACAGGACCATCCTCGGAGGCAACACCGACACCAGCATTGACGTCTCTGACCCCATCAGTGATCGTTTCTACAAGGAGGTGTGGATGACTACAGCCGGCCGCAACGCTACCATTTATGAGAAGGTAGGGTGGACACCAGGACTTACATGGGAACAAAAAAAAAGTTTGGTTGAGAAATTATGACATGTGGTAGATCATAGTACATTATTTTGACAATGGAAGATAAAATCCATAGAATTCTGCTTTTATATATGTAAACTGAACATATATTTTCTAAGAAGTCAGCAGGTAAAAATGTGAACTCAACAAAGAGGATGGTATAAGACTGAACTGCGATTTATGTTTATCATATATCCTTAAAAAGTAAAATGTGCTCCTGAGCTTCATAAATGTAACAAGACTCAAAGACTGTATTTGGGTCATTTCATCTCAAATAATTACATTTCTGCTGGACCATCTCGGATTTCCCAGAATTTTTTATAGCATCAAATGTACATATTTATATAATTTATAAAAATATTTGTGAAACTGATGTATGAAGTATTTTCTGAGATTATCCGTCGTTCGCACATTGAAATTTGACATGCAACCACATGTGGGTCAGAAAATATCGTATTGACAATAGGAATTTTCATGATGGCTTAAAAAAAAAAAGTCTCATGTACTTATTTATATACCAGTCTAAAATTTCCTAGATACTGTTTTAAATGTCCATAGTTTATGATAACACAGTTTCAAACAAATGAGATGGTTGAACAGAAGGCCCCTGATGATCTGAGATGAAATAACCCTGTTACGATTTTACCAGTATCTTGAGACTATAATTACACAAAACAACCACAAAGAACCCTCCTCAGTTAAATAAAAATGCTGTTGTGGCAAGGAATTTGTCTGAGTCTGAGCTAGCTACCCTAATCTGAAGGGTTTATCCTCTGTACAGTTACCAGTTAGGGACGTCTCAGGCTTAGGCTTGAAACTACCAAAAACCACTGGGATTCATCCTCAGGGAACCATGAGCGTCGGTGCTAAATGCCATGGCGTCCCTTCTGGCAACTGACGAGACTGTTCTCTCTCAGACCAGTTGTGATGAGTGGATTATGTGATTAGGATGTCGTCCCATTGCAGCAGTCTCTTGTTAGTGACATAAAATGATGCCACTGGAGTTCTGAATCCTTTATTTATCACCACCGCAATGTGGTTCTGATAGAGACAAAAGTAGAAAACATGTATTCATACAAATACAAGTCTTGGAAGAATAGAACTTAGTGGTTCAATGAAGGCATGTAGCTTCTAATAATGTCCAACAATGTCCACCAGGGGGACGTCTGGACTCCTGTCTTCTGAGGTTCGATCTCCTGTATTTTGTTCAGCAGCCGTAGTGCCTGATTAGAAATGCCAGTAACTTAAGTAGAGCTACAATAATACACCATGTAGAGAATGCATAGGTCAGTAATGGCCACTTAAGCAAACTCATTGACTAACATCAAACACAAACTGAGTGCCAAACATGAAGTTTTCTGTGTTTCTTTGAAGGTGTTCCGTTGCCTTCCCTCGTCTCTGGTGAGAAACATGTCCGAGCTGGAACAGTACCAGTCCAAGCCAGGTTTGGCCCAGACCGACTTGAACCGCGCGCAGGAGGAACTGCGCAAAATCCGAGGTTTCCTCGTCCAGTTTCCTCTGGACTTCCTGTCTGAGCATAACCTCATGCCCTCTGTTGGAACCAAGGAGGCCATGGTCCCCACTGAGATCTGGACATAAAGGACCTGAACCTGCCTCTAAACTCACACATGTGGACTCAGCTGTTTCTGGAGCGTCTTGAGTGAAGCTTCTGGATCGTGGTCGTCATTGAATGTCTAACACAGAGATCACGTTTGATTAATTTAATCCGGAGACGAGAGTCAGATTTGCGGTTCTCTTTTGGCTTGATGTGACTGCTGGGCATTGACAAATCTCTCAGATCTGTTCCTACTGAGACACACTAATCAGTAGTTACGGCTTGTTAGGTTGAAGCTTTTGGATGTACAGCATGAAGAACTCGAAGACAACAACGATGACTGCATTGTGAAATGAATGAAATGAAAAGCAGGCACACGGACTTTGGATTTTGGGAATCGGTTTTAACTCTGGATGCTTACACCTTTTTGGACTGTTCGGACAACGAGGATCTTTAAGGGACCAGGATGAGGACGTAGTAAACATTTTGATGAAGCTAACAAATACTCATTGTTGAAGACATCACAAAACATACACATTAGAGATGGTGACGCATGTGATTTTCTGAGTTTGTGACGTACGCTCGTGAGGTGCATTAGTGCTATGTACGCTGTTTCTGAGCTCACGGAGGAGCCCGCGCTGCTTTCGACAAATTCTTTGGAGTTAAAAGCTCAGATGTGTCTTGAAGATTTTTTTTCGTACGAAGAAATCAAAGAGAGACAATTTTACAGGTTGGACAGCGGTGCATGATTTACTAACTAGAATCCTGCTAACACCATTGGCCTGACGCATAAACCAATCACACCTCTGGAAAAAAAAAAAAGAGACATATTTCTTGTTGAAGGTGTTTTGTGACCTGAAGATTCTGCATAGCTTCAATCAAAGTGAATCAAAGTGGAGTATGTTAAGCTAACACAGGTTCCCAATTAAACCCAAGTTTGTTACTTAAAAAAACAAAATTCTGATGGGGAGGAGTGTAAGATCAAAAACTGTGCCAGTGGCTGGACGAGACAATCAGACTGTACGTTCGTCTTTGCTCAGCAGATGGTGCTAGCTTCCTAAAAAACACAGTCTGTATTCAGTAGTTGAACAGTTAGAGAGTAAGCTCTCCTGGCTGCTTTTTCTCAGTCTTATCGCGTCAGCTTTTGATTTTAAAGTTTTTGAAGCTCGATAAATACAATTTTGTTTCCCATAAAACATGCAGCTGGTGCAGGCGGCAAAGCATCCACGTGGAGATTCCACTTTCCTTGCAGCTCCAAGTGTTTTCTTGAGTGAACTTTTTACCCAGAGTGATCTTAGCATTTCAAGCATTTCGTTAATGTAACGCAGCCTGGATCGGCCAAGAAGAAGTCCAGCTCCTCCAGGGGACATGATGTGTGACCCATGGGGCAGCTGGCTTATTTTGTATAAATGAATGTGTGGACACGTGTTACCTGATTTTGTTTTAATTTTTAATATTCGTCACACTATCTCATTTGAACCTCCCCGAAATGTGAAGAGAAAGAACCACTCCTGCTCAGTTGTTGCGATGAAAGCACAAGGTTTTACGGCATTTAGACAGAGGTTGCATAAAAGTGACAGGAAGGATCCTGTAAATCAACAACATGAATCACTTCATTTGGCACAGATCCTTCAGTTTTCTTTTTATTGCGTTTTAGTTCACACACCACACGTGTGAATCACTTGCATTTATGTGACAGATAATGACTGTGTGTGTGATAATGAATTATTGATTTCTTGAACGGGACCAGGAAATTGAGAAACGTTAATTGAAGTTGTAAAGCTCAGAAAGACTCTGTTCTTTGTTTTTTTTTTTTACAAAGACAAACACTTGTGCTTCTCACATTTTATTGATTTGGACACTATTGTCTGTAATGTTTACCCTTTGCTGTATTTGTCAGTGCATTATTTATGGAATATGAAGCATTTAACATTCTTTAAAACCTTTATTTTTTAAATGTATCGCATGGTTGTATGGACGGTTGTAATTAAAACCTCTGTTTTCTTTCTTCATAACCACCATGCGGATGTCTTCTCCGTCAGCTCTTTGCTCTCACTCTGTTTATGTACATTACTTTGTTTTTTTTTTGTACAGCTGAAGGTATGTCCTTTCAACGCATTGTAATTTAAATGGCTAACAAATAAAAGCTATCTTTGGAATTTTTTTGTTCCTTTCATCCCACGAAAATAACGAGTTTATGAAAAGGATTGTAATACGTGATGTAGGACAAAAATGACAGTTTGAAACTCTTGACTGATGGTGTCAGCGTGGGGAGACTCCAACACCCTTCAACCCTCTATCGCAGGGGTGTCGAACTCTGGTCCTCGAGGGCCGCAATCCTGCATGTTTTAGATGTTTCCTTCTTCCAACACACCTGATTCAAATGATCAGGA